TATATATATATATATATATATATATATATATATATATGCCTAAAAATATATATATATATATATATATCGCCTATAAACTATTTATGATATGCCTATGTCTAGCCAAGAAATCATTTTATAATATTGACTAATCAATATAGCACGATTTTCAATTAGATACCGGCAGCTTGATTACCGAATGATTAATTCAAATATGACGTGTACAAGTGAATTAGGTCTTCCCTATGTTCTTTGCTACCCAATACTAGCCGTGAACTAATTAAGCAAACTCGTCCTATATAATAGCAAATTAATAATATCAACGGGAGGTACTTTTGTCAGATGGTGAGTTGTCATACCACTGCGGTTCATGCACTGCCGACAATAGGCACATCACTTAGACTGATCGAGCTACCAATAGGCTCATCGCTTACATGCGGACTCGAGAAGCTTATAATATTAAACCCTCTTCTACATAGATTATGCTGTTCTTAAGAGCTTAAGCCCATGTATGTTACTACATTATAACCACATGACAAGATATAGGCGTAATTCCTTTAGCTCTATTTAATTTGGGCTACATGGCGAAACGAATCTTGCTCTTAAAATAGATTACAGGTAAAAGGATACGAGGATGGAATTGAATGAAAACAACTATTGAGGCTTCGTTGCAGACAGAAGATCGATTGGATAGGACTATTAACAATTGACCAACGTATAGATTACTTCAATCAGAGTACTGCAGGTACCGTACCGTCTACTATTAAAAGGACATTGGCAATATGTTTACCGCACTTTGCAAAGGAACTCATAATATAGTGCGCATTGATAATACGCACGCGTAAATTCTTCGATAGCGCGAATTAGGAACACACTTATTTAGAGTAATACGAGAGCATATTATTCATGGTTCTCAAAATGGACCATTCCGCTAATCCCCTGTTTTTGTAGTGTGTTTCGTATGCTGCGTTCATTAGAACTTGTTAAAACTGATTTCACAACTTGTAACATGCGCGTACACAATAGAGTGCATTCATTTGACGAACGCTAAATGGCTGCTGTCACTTTTGCAATGTGTTCGGAAATAAAACATACAAAAAAACTTTTTTTTTCTTTTAAATCTGAAGTAATATACTTAAACAAATTGCAATAAATATGTTGGGTTGCAAATAAAACATACAAACAGCACTCTTTTTTTTATCTGAAATAATATTACTTAATCAACAAATTGCAATAAATACCTATGCTCGTTGTGCATAGTTTGTGTTACATCCGCCATTTTCCACACTACTTGTGCAAATCGAGGAAGAAAATTCTACTCGAGTTCACAACTTGTGTTTACAAGTTCACCAACGAGAACGCGTTTCACAAGTTGTGAACTGGGAAACACCGACTTCACAAGTTCCAGTGAACGCAGCGTAAGGGTCCCTTAAATCGACAGTGTAAATTACGTAACTTGTATTCTGTGAGACATGCGCGTAATCCTGACCCTGCTCTGATTGGTCAGTTAATTTTTAAGGTTTAGACGCTTTGACGCAAACGTTTCTTCATTTTACGCTATACCTCTAATGTGAATGTAGCTTTAACACGTCCACACTAGGAAAATCCGCATTCGACTGTGTATTTAAGAAACGCATACATAAAGTGGTAAAGTTTTCAATTGATTAATTACTGTCTCATTAAAAGCAAACGAGAAAATGCTCCTTCGCCATATTTAAATTCACTGTAGGCCAAATTCAACTTCATAACTGTTATACACAATTATGGTATTACTGTGAATAGTAACGACATAAAATAGTGACAATAAGCATGTGAGACGTACTAATGCACAAGAACAATTACGTAGTGCGTAGCCCCAATGGTAACCCATTGTTATGGAACGCATTAATTTAAAATACAATTACACCGTGTTTAATATGACTCTTGTGTGTTGTTTGGTAACATAAATGACTGAAATTATTACTTCTATGATTGGACAGACTGCAACGAGCATATCACGGCAATGAGGCTCTGTCCAGATTATCAAATCCCATATATAGCCAGGATGTGCCTATATATGGTCATGTGTGAAGTCATGATGACCATATTTAGGTCATGATGACGTTATTTATTTTATAGTCTGAATAGGGCTTGTTGGAAATATAATAACTGCTGTAAATTAATAATTGTTTCTTTTCTTTTTTTTTAATACCACTGTGCACACAAACATCACGATGTGGTCTTGAAACAAATCTACATTAGGCCAAATAAAAAAAAAAACTATTTTCTCGTCCTCTCGTGCATCCATTTTCTCTGCCTGACCAATTTTCCCCCCGTTATTTTACGAAATGTACGAAAATCTGGCTAACTCACATCGGTAAAATTCCTCTCTCGATCGCTTCTTTTAATGTGTCTACTTGGTAAAAGTGAGAAAGTAGTAGTTGTTTCCCATCGGCCATCTTGCATTTGCCATCCCGGAGTTTAAAAAGAAATGCCCTTATTCTCCTTTTTTCAAAATATTAGGACGAGAAACTAACTTTTTTACTTGACCTTAGTTAGATATTTAAAAATGAAAAGCATCCTCTATTCAGTTAAAGTAAATTTTATTGCAATTTATAAACAAACTTTAAATATCACAATAGGACAAAAGCAGAAAAACAAGAACTATACTAGACAATTACTAATTAAAAAAGTCTATACACATCTCAATAATTTATAAAAGTAAAGCAGAAAATATATCAGGAAAATATAAAATGTTTATATACAATTTATATACACTTTTTTCGTCATGGCTCTGTGTTCTTATTTATTTTGGCCGATATCTTGTTTTGTTCTTATTTCACACACTTTTCAAAGATAAAAAAATATTATTGTTTTAGCAATACATTACTGTATTGTAGAGGGTATTACATAGTCACATCTATTGCACATAAGGAACAAATAATATTTGCTGTTTTTTCTATTTTTTTTAAAGATAAAACCTCATTTGACATTTTACCTCATCCTCAATTTGTTTTTTCCTTAATTTTAAAGCAATTTCTGCCTCAGTGTTATTATAAGATGTGTTCTTATAATATAGGCCTATATAAAAAGTGTAACAGAGATAATGTATTACTATTTT